CACCAAGGCTAGGGAATTGATCATTTGGCCCCATTGAAATTAGAATTATTCTGCCAGAATTTTTTTTAGCAGTAACAGGAAACTTGAGACTCCGGGTTTCTGCCAACTCTTTGACCTTTGCCTGTTATTAGGTCATTCTACCCATGCACCTACAAAATGGTGGCCGTAATACCTTCCGGAAGGTTTCTATTATTTTAGTGAGAGTCATTCACTAAAGATGCAGATGAAAGTTACTTCTTATTAATAACAAACAAGTGCAATATGAAGGGAACATCTTTTTGGTTGCATTCTTTGGTGGCCTTCAATGTCTATAAAGAGGCTCAGTTTTCTGGATTTCATGACCTCATTAGTCACTCAGTACCCTTTTCTATTCTATTCTTTGACTTGAGGTTTATCTCCCTAACCCACATTCTGTCACCTGTAAACATTGCCTGTGATGGTTTAAGTAGACACGGTTAAATATTCTAATTATTTGGAAGGCATATTCTTGGGATCCCTGAAGACCCATCAGATTGTGTGATATAAGCCTCTTCATATGAAAAGCCTGTTCATTTTAGCAAGTGCCCAGAGGAAAGCCTCATGAAGCCTGGAGCACCCAAGGCACATGTTCTTAAATCTCAGTTGGCTGGATGGTCTCCACAGAGCCAAGAGAATGGAACAGGGCAGTGTGTGGTGACGAGCCCCTTCTTTCTGAAATGTTCACACTTTCTGAGACTGTGAAGAAGACCCATTATTCCTTCTGTGCTCCATGCATAGATGATTAAGTCTGTGATGGAAACAATAGCTTATTTTAGCTTTTATATTGTATAATATTTATCACTAAATCATACCCTTGACCTTACTGTTGTACAATTTATTAAAAGTATTAATTTTCTGGGTCATGACCTGTTTTGCCATATTGAGTATATGTAACCAAAAAGAAACATGGTTTTTTAAATTATACATTGAGTTTGAGCTGAGTCCATTAAATTAAAAAAAAATTCCTTCTTCAAACAGGAAAACTAATACATGTATATGGCTGGATTATGACCGGAAGATTGGAAACTTTTGATTTTGATGCTGAGTACATTGATAGGTAAGCGTGTGTTTGTTTTTGTGTTTAACTAGTTACATACATGCTGCACGGCTTCCTGAGACCAGCTTCCCTGATGGCAATAAATTGTAAGCAGTTGGCACAGAATTGCTATTTTCCTCTCTTTGCAGTTTATGGTCCCTCATGAACTGGGCTTCAGCAAACTTTGCTAATGTAATTGCAACTGGTCGATTAAGTTGGTCCATTTATTTACTGACAACTAGTCACTCTGGGCTCAGTGTGAAATGAACTGTAATTGCATCTGTGGATTTTCTTTTTGAATTCTCACCCTTCCTTCCTTTGTTTCTGAGGCTGAAATAGATTCTTTATAAAATGATGTGTAAACCCAAAAGCCCATTATAACTTTCTTATTTGGTTATTATCCATTTGTGCTTTAAAAATTGTATTAGTGGGATCAGAGGAAAACGTGGACACAGGTACTAAAAGCCATAGAGCTTTTAATGTTTTCTGGGAATGATTAGGATGTCAACATGACTTTCTTCACCGGAGATGTGGTGGAAAGTGTTACTATTAAATCATCCACACTAGAGAGAGAGGAGAACAAGACAAAAAGTGTTGAAATTGTAGAGGCTGTAAGACGCTCTAAGCAACTGTAATCATTCAACAAATGAAGCAACTGTACTGAGGATTTATAAGGTAGAAGGAAAATAATCTTACTATATGCTCAGCTGTGTAGATTCTATACATGGTGTCTAATTTTTCCTTCACTTGGGATGGGTTGGGGGCATCCTCTTCTGTTCTATTCCATTTGTCTGATTTTGCCCTAGTTGAAGAGAACATGATCTGATTACTCTCAGGATTTACATTTCTGGCATTAAGCAATGGTCAACCTACCTTACTAGAAAACTACTCTTGTTGTAGGGGGTAGAAACTCCTACTACATCCTTGGGAATGTGCCACATTTGCTAGTTGGTCCCATCCCAGCCATCGTCTGGGATATAGTCTTTGGAAGGGGCAATAAAGGCATAAATGCAATATTATCTCTGTGTGGAACCAATGTAGCCAGTGTGGAGATTATGAAGGTTTTTGGGAAGGGAGAAATATTTTCTGTTTAGTGTGAAAGCATGAGCCATGAGTGCACCCCTACTCTGCTGAGAATTTGACTTGACATCCGCCTTCAACCACCTGCAATAGTGCAGAAAATTCCAGAGGAGAATGTTCATAGCCATGTTTCCTCTGAGTTTTTTGAGGAAGGTTTATTGGGAGCATTGCACAATTATCCCTTGTCTTTTGTTTTCCTTTTTTTCTTTTTTTCAAAATCCAGCCCAGTGATCTTGGAAGCTCAAGGAGACAAATGGGTTACTCCTTGCTCTCTTGTAAATAGGCAGACGGGAAGCTGGTGAGTGTCTTATTTATCTTGCCAATGCATATGCTTGTAAGTTCTTCCACATGGATACAACACACACACACTCTCTTTCTCTCCCCACTCACCACATATCTGTTTTTTTTTTTAAATATAAATCACACATAGCTATTTACTGTCTTATCTTTAGACTACTGAAAAAGACACAGGGATTGATTCAAAGTGCGTATTGAAGTGGATGCCAAAATCGTCCTTGAAAACACGTAGCTAATACTTGTTAGGGGCTTACTATAGGCCAAGCTCTGCTTGAATGCTTTACATTGAAGTCACCCAATAATCTTGGGAGTATGTATGATTACTAGTCTCACATTACAGATGAGGAATTTGAGAAACAGAGAAGTTAAGTAACTTGCACAAGGTCTCACAGAGAGCAAGTGGCAGACCTGGGATTTGAACCTTGTCTAACTAATCAGCTCCCAGAGTTCATGATCTTAACCACTATACTTCAGTGACTAGCCAAAGGTAGAAATAACTTAAAAATTTAGGAATAAGTTTCTACACTCTCCAGTTTAAAGACCCAACGTTTTACCGTATTTTTACTTCACTCTGGACAGGGTGGGTTGCCCTTCCTTTGAGGCCATTACAAGAATGACACCCTATGGTTTCACTTTTTCAGACTGGTGTATAGTAGAGCCAAATTCTACACTTGTGTGTAGTCTTCCTTGTGTCTGCATTTTGTTTGGTCAGAATTGTCCTTTATGGGGTTCATACTTGATAACAGATTTTTAAAAAATAAAGGTTTTGTTATACTTGTCATATGACACATTTGAAAAGAAAGGACCAAATGCTTAGAGTAATACTAGTTAGTACTAGGGCAAATGCCTAGGGTATTACTAACTAGTATTACCCTATATATACACTAGTTAGTAATACCCTAAGCATTTGCCCTAATGAACTCATTATACCTTCAGTACCTACCATTTTCTCTGGCAAATTTGTTTTTCCTTTTACTTTCTACTTTCCTGGTTAAAGAGTCAGATCTTCTGGTGGTGAGTTGTCTGCTAAAAGCCATAGAGCTTTTAATGTTTTCTGGGAATGATTAGGATGTCAACATGACTTTCTTCACCGGAGATGTGGTGGAAAGTGTTACTATTAAATCATCCACACTAGAGAGAGAGGAGAACAAGACAAACAGTGTTGAAATTGTAGAGGCTGTAAGACGCTCTAAGCAACTGTAATCATTCAACAAATGAAGCAACTGTACTGAGGATTTATAAGGTAGAAGGAAAATAATCTTACTATATGCTCAGCTGTGTAGATTCTATACATGGTGTCTAATTTTTCCTTCACTTGGGATGGGTTGGGGGCATCCTCTTCTGTTCTATTCCATTTGTCTGATTTTGCCCTAGTTGAAGAGAACATGATCTGATTACTCTCAGGATTTACATTTCTGGCATTAAGCAATGGTCAACCTACCTTACTAGAAAACTACTCTTGTTGTAGGGGGTAGAAACTCCTACTACATCCTTGGGAATGTGCCACATTTGCTAGTTGGTCCCATCCCAGCCATCGTCTGGGATATAGTCTTTGGAAGGGGCAATAAAGGCATAAATGCAATATTATCTCTGTGTGGAACCAATGTAGCCAGTGTGGAGATTATGAAGGTTTTTGGGAAGGGAGAAATATTTTCTGTTTAGTGTGAAAGCATGAGCCATGAGTGCACCCCTACTCTGCTGAGAATTTGACTTGACATCCGCCTTCAACCACCTGCAATAGTGCAGAAAATTCCAGAGGAGAATGTTCATAGCCATGTTTCCTCTGAGTTTTTTGAGGAAGGTTTATTGGGAGCATTGCACAATTATCCCTTGTCTTTTGTTTTCCTTTTTTTCTTTTTTTCAAAATCCAGCCCAGTGATCTTGGAAGCTCAAGGAGACAAATGGGTTACTCCTTGCTCTCTTGTAAATAGGCAGACGGGAAGCTGGTGAGTGTCTTATTTATCTTGCCAATGCATATGCTTGTAAGTTCTTCCACATGGATACAACACACACACACTCTCTTTCTCTCCCCACTCACCACATATCTGTTTTTTTTTTTAAATATAAATCACACATAGCTATTTACTGTCTTATCTTTAGACTACTGAAAAAGACACAGGGATTGATTCAAAGTGCGTATTGAAGTGGATGCCAAAATCGTCCTTGAAAACACGTAGCTAATACTTGTTAGGGGCTTACTATAGGCCAAGCTCTGCTTGAATGCTTTACATTGAAGTCACCCAATAATCTTGGGAGTATGTATGATTACTAGTCTCACATTACAGATGAGGAATTTGAGAAACAGAGAAGTTAAGTAACTTGCACAAGGTCTCACAGAGAGCAAGTGGCAGACCTGGGATTTGAACCTTGTCTAACTAATCAGCTCCCAGAGTTCATGATCTTAACCACTATACTTCAGTGACTAGCCAAAGGTAGAAATAACTTAAAAATTTAGGAATAAGTTTCTACACTCTCCAGTTTAAAGACCCAACGTTTTACCGTATTTTTACTTCACTCTGGACAGGGTGGGTTGCCCTTCCTTTGAGGCCATTACAAGAATGACACCCTATGGTTTCACTTTTTCAGACTGGTGTATAGTAGAGCCAAATTCTACACTTGTGTGTAGTCTTCCTTGTGTCTGCATTTTGTTTGGTCAGAATTGTCCTTTATGGGGTTCATACTTGATAACAGATTTTTAAAAAATAAAGGTTTTGTTATACTTGTCATATGACACATTTGAAAAGAAAGGACCAAATGCTTAGAGTAATACTAGTTAGTACTAGGGCAAATGCCTAGGGTATTACTAACTAGTATTACCCTATATATACACTAGTTAGTAATACCCTAAGCATTTGCCCTAATGAACTCATTATACCTTCAGTACCTACCATTTTCTCTGGCAAATTTGTTTTTCCTTTTACTTTCTACTTTCCTGGTTAAAGAGTCAGATCTTCTGGTGGTGAGTTGTCTGGTCATTCTTACCTCCGTTTGTCTTTTCCTTAGTTATCCTATCCAGGAGGACCATGGTCTTGGGACTCTGCAGTGCCATGTGGAAGGCGATTACATCGGTCTGTTAGAGAAGTAACATAATTTTAAAGTCTTATCCATTTCTTTCTCTGTATCCAGACAAAAACAATTGCAAGATTGGTTTACATGAGGATAATAATAGTAACAATAATTACTATTTGTTAAGAATTCCCTGGAAAACACTACTATATGAAACAGCTCATATAGAAACTAATTTAATGCTCACACACCTGTGAAGTTGGTGGAATTTTTTGGCTTTGCAGGTGAGAAAAATTGAAGTTAGTTACCAGTAGATCAATATTTAAATGATGCTCCATCTAGCCTGGGCTCTTCCCTGCTATGCAATACTACATTTGCCCTTTTATTGCTAGAAGGCCACATTGCTAATGATGCTAAGGTTATGAGGTGTTGTTTTGGTGGTGGGGGGTAAATAAATTACAGATTTGGGTGGTAATTTGATGATGTTGGAGTCTTTGGGCTTATGAAAGCAACGGCCTGGCCCAGAAGATTCATGCAGATTCCTGAGTTAATGTGTTTCTTTGTGTTACAGGCTCCCAGAATGTTAGCTTCTCAGTATTTAATAAAGGAAAGTAAGTAACTGGGTATAGAAATAGGCAAATTTGTCTTCATTTTATATTATCTATCTCTCTCATCTTGCTTACTTTATCTTTTTACGATGGAAAATTTTAAACATATACAAACAGAATAGTATAATGAGACCACATGTACCTCCTTGACTTTTTTTACTTTGGTGAAAAAAATTGTGTCCTCGTCACTAATCTGTAGGCAATGTGTGTTTCGATATGGTAGTGGTGCAGAATTTTGGAAATTAAATCTTAAGTAATTTCCAAGTACTGTAGGTTGAAAACTGTCACAAGTATCTTATAAGGAACATGGTTTCATGAAATACATTGTACCATCCAGGAAGTACCTTCTTCAAAAGGGAAGGGGTCCACATTTCATCACACTTTGAAGTGACAAATCCGGATTCTGGATTTCTGAATCCTTACCTTACATTCTGCCCCTATATAATTTGACAAGTGTTTCTGTTAAAAGTGCAGGGTCTAGTTGATAATAATTGCATTATAATGACAGTGGCAATTATGTATAGCTCTACAGCCCAAAGTATGGAGATTTTCTCTCGTTCTCATTTTGGAAGAAATAAAATTAATGTCTATTGAGTATTGATTATAGGCCAACTAAGGGCTAGGCCCTTTCACACTCATCATTTCATTGAACATTTGTGGCACTCTATGAAGCAGGCATTATTCCCATATGATAATTTTATATATCAGAAAACAACTTTGTCCCAGTGGTATTGTTCTCTAGTCATCCAAGGGAGCTGCTATTTCAACTGTTCTAAAGATTGATAGAAGGAAGATCCCAATCTTCCTTTCAGGCAGCTGACTAAAAAAAATGCAATCCCAGATGCTATTTTCATTCAAAACAGAACTTTGTCTTTTTCGAAGGTCAATGGTCCACAAGAAGGCATGGCTGATCAGTGCTAAACAGGACCTTTTCCTATACCAGACACACTCAGGTACTATTCCCCTTTATGAAGTACCCCTTCCCTTGTGCCTCACTCAACGTTGGCCCCTCCTTCCCTATCTTTTGGCCATTTCTTGATGACCATTAACACCCAAAGCTATCCCTACAATCATAGACAGCCTTGTGGTTTTGGTTGAGATTAAATTGCTTGTATCCATGTCAGGTTTAGTTAATATATTAAAAGAGTCTTGATAATATACTTCTATACAAAGTCTATGGATATAAACTGAATAAAAGAAAGGAGAGTCTTGCTTTATTCTATGTTCTGAAAGTAAAAGAGAAAAGGTGGCACTTAAAAACTCTTAAAGCACATCTTTCCAGTTACTTCAACATCCATCTCTAAACATTCATTCAACAATTTATGACTAATATTGACATTAAGCTGTTCTGTTACCATCTGATGAGTAAACCGTCATACTGAAAAAAAAGAATGTGAAAATTGGAAGCTTGCATGGAATTGTGAACTCAATTTGGTAGTAGAAAGCTGGCTACTAAAGAATACTTAGATTCTAGAATGGAATACAGTCACACAGCCACTGAAGAACTGTGTGAGGTAGGTTCAGACTCCGGAAGCAATCAAAATCTACCTTTATCAAAAGTGCAAGATAATTCGCAGGCCATGGAGCAAATGTCATTTGCCCTCTAGATAGCCTAGTCCTGCAACGGCTGAATTTTCACCCTGATTTTTCCTTTCTTTAAACAGTATAACTCGTCTGTTTGGGGTAAGTTTGAAGAAGCGCCCAAGGTGATAGTGATAGTGATAGCTGCTACAGGAAGAATGTCAGACCTTGTTAAGTGCTTTACATAAAATCTCAATATTTATTTCACTGAACTATGAGATGGATTAACATTAGCCCCATTTTACAGATGAGGAAACAGACTCAGATAAACAAGCATCTTTTCCAAAGCCAAAGGTTTTAGTGCTAGAACGTTTAGTTCCAATTCCAAATCTTATGTCCATAGCCAATATATGGTGGGAAGTACACTCTTCTTGCCACTCCACTCCAAGGTTTTTGTGAGCCTGCCCATCACTATCAAACCCTGGAATGATTGATAGGCTGACAGGTATCCCTGACGACACAGTGCTTTTACATTTCCAGGGCCAATGTCTTCTTGGGATCAGGACTCACAGGCCAGAACTTCTTCACAGCAGAGGAGGCTGTAGGAAAAGAGGATGGACAGCCATGAAGAGCCCTGGGCTGAGCTCCTCAGGGGCTGACATTCAATCACTAGTTGAGCGTGGTTAAGCCTTTTAAGCTTTCTGAGCCTCAATTAAGCATCTCTAAAATGGACAAAGCGGTGCTTATCCTTCTTATGCCAAAAGTCGTCTAAAGAGGTAGAGGAGCAAGAATCTTGGAATTCATCCAAGATTTGTCTGTCTTCCTCCTTTCCATATCCGTTCAATCACAATTTCTGCCAGTTTTTATCTCTTATTTATGATGTATCTGTACAGTAACTGTCTGTTTCTGGACCCCATCACCTCTTGTGTTACATGCTGCAGTGGTTTCTAGAGGCCCCGACTTGCCCTCTGCCCCTTCAAGCCCCTCCCTCACATTCTCTACATCAAGCATATGTCTGATGCATGGTTCCCTCCTACTCACCATCCTCTGATGGCTTGCTCTCCCCTACCAGAAATGGGCCAAACTTCTGACGTCCTCCTTGTCTGTTTCTCCAGCTCTATCTCTCTCTCTGTCATACTCCAGCAACACTTGCATGCACTATGCAATTTCTTCTCTCCACGCTCAGGCTATCTTTCCTTTTTAAATGCCCTCTCCTTCTCCTCTTCGCTAGGCCACTTCTAATTCATCCTTTAAGACTCAGATTAGTGTCATCTCTAAACATTTTCTTCTATACCTCAATACTCCCATCCTACTCCTAAACTTCTCGTTCTTTCATATACTCTCTCATTTCTCCAACCCAAGGTATTAAATGATAGTTTTGCACACCTGCTTTACGATGCCGATCTTCTTGAGGACAAGAACTAGTTTGTATTCATCTTTATATCCCTAGTATACCATATAATAGGTGCTCTGTGAATGTTGAAAAAAATTGTCAAATATCTACAACTACGTTAAAAGTTTAAGAACTTCATAAATTGTTTTGTCTTTGATCTGTGTAATTTTGAATGCATGACAAAAGAATGTGTTAATCTCCACATAAAGCTAATACAAAATTCCAGTGCTAGTGTAAAAAAAAAGAAATTTTAAAATAGTAGGTTAAAAGCAGGGGGTTATTATGATTAGCGGTGAATTTTGGTATCTGACTGTAAGGGATCAATCTTTGCCTCCATATGTCTCCTCTGCTTTGTCACATGGGAAAAAGCATTATGAAATAACCTCCTAAAATGTCTATTTTTCAGTGGTAACCATTCATCACTAGCCTTTGTACCTTCAGTTTACACAAATGTAACTCCTCTTTTCTCTGGAGGGAATGAATCTTAGAAATGTCAAAGCTTGATAATGGAGAGGAAAGAATGAGATAAAGCTAAATTCTGGGGACTATGTGTCATATTACTGCAGGCAATTTCTTTTCTTTTCTTTTTTATTTTATTTTTTCTTGAGACAGGGTCTCACTCTGTCACTCAGGCTAGAGAGCAGTGGCGCCATCTCAGCTCAGTGCAACCTCTGTCTCCTGGGTTCAAGCAGTTCTCCTGTCTCAGCCTCCCAAGTAGCTGGGATTACAGGTGCACACCACGACACCCGGCTAATTTTTGTATTTTTAGTAGAGACGGGGTTTCACCATATCGGTCAGGTTGGTCTCGAACTCCTGACCTCAGGTGATACACCTGCCACCCGCTTCAGCCTCCCAAACTTGTGGGATTACAGGCCTGAGCCACCACGCCTGGCCACCGTAGGCAGTTTTAAACAATCAGGAGCAGCATGAAAAAACTGGGTATGAGGTGTGAGGTGCATGTGGGGAAGGAGCATTCAGTGTGGGGAAGAATGGGAGGGTCCTAAAGACAGTGAAATTCATTCTCCTGCTTAGAGCGAATTACAGATTCATGTGGGTGAACTGAAGCCTTTCCCAGTGTACCCAAAGTTGATTCCTCCTTGTGTTGTAACTTATTGTTCCCTGACTTGTCAATATTGTCCTTGAGGTCAGGAGACAGATTTTCTGAGAAAACATCATGGTAGCTAGGGGCTTTTGCTGATACCATGAACGACTCCACATTTCCCCTTCCTTTCAAATATTGATCCTGGATAATATATACTTCTGGTCTTTTTCTTATTATGTGCATTTTTAAACAGTTACTACTAGAAAAAAATTCAACTGTTGCTGAACTTAGAAAGTTAAAATAAGAAATAAATTATTAATGTACCCTATTATTATATTATTATCTGGGTCATATTCTGATCTATATTTGGAAGCTTACTTTTTTTTTTTTTAAACTCTTGCAGAAATATTATCTGTGTTTCCAGAAACTGGGAGCCTTGGGGGAAGAACGGACATCACAATTACAGGAGACTTCTTTGACAATTCTGCCCAGGTTACCATTGCAGGTAACTATGCTGAAATGGCTGAAAATAGTTCATAGTTTTAGATGACCTAGGAGCTTATATGTCTGTATGGCATGAGGGATGCAGGAGGAAGCAAGCTTTGCCCCTTCTGACTTACCATGTTTGATAAGTCATGTGTTTGGTTGAGAACAGGTAGGATTTCGGTCCTGCAGTACATGGGTCACAGGAACAGAATGTCCTGCAGACACACTCACAATGCATAGGCAATTCCCTCAGGTGCCCCATCTTGTGAGTGAAGAGAAAGAAAGAAATACAGCTGCTTCTTAACAAAGGTTTACTCCTACTAAAAACAGCCCGTCTCTTCACTCTCCCTTGTTAACTATCTTGATACAGACAAGCAGGAGTGGGTGGGCATTTGCTATACAGATTATTCTGGAAATCACCCGCACCCCAAACTTGGCAAACCCTTTTGTGGACCTATCTAAAGCCTTGCGCTCTGCCAGGTCCTGTAGTAGGTGGGATGCTTCTGTAGTCGGTGGCACCAAGGGTGTCCTCACACTGTCATGTCACACTTATCTCCCATGCTCAGCCAAGTGGTTCAGTACATCCTCAATGAAGAGCACTTCATTGCATGACTTTCCTTCTGAATACTTCAAGCTGCCCTATCCTCAGCTGCTCTGCAATCTCTCTTTTCTCCTTCAGTTGGGGTGACAACTTTTGCTATTCCATCTACACCCAGCCCTTTGCCTTAGAATAGGAGCCTGTCTACTTCAGTCTGGTCTTGCCATCACATCTCCCCACTGCCTCTCTCTCTCTCTCTGTATGTGTGTGTGTGTATATATATACACAATTATATATACACACACATATACATGTATATGTGTATGTATACCTATACACACATATACACACACATACATAAATTTCTTTAATTCCCTTTAGGCATTCCATGTGATATTAGACACGTGTCTCCCAGGAAGATTGAGTGCACCACTCGGGCTCCAGGTAAAGATGCGAGGCTCACCACCCCTCAGCCAGGTAAGGAAGCCACCAGGGCTGTTCAATAAACTCTGTATATCTTTAATCATGAGGGGCTGATGAGTAGAAATGAAAGAGTTTGAATTCTGTCTCATCTATTTGACTGGCTAACTCAGTGAGCCCTGGGTCCATGATACCATTGTCAAGGCTTTCCTTTCAGGAAGGCTCTTAGTTTTATTCAAGTGCTTAGTGACACTGCACTTCTAGCCCCAGCCGGCTGTATGACCAGTGGCGTCCAGAAGAGACCATGGTCTAGAAAGCATAACTGCCCTCAAGATATTGTTATAGCTACTGGAGGAAACCCCCAAACTGCCCGCCTTCATTCAATGGGTCAGTTGCGTGTCCACTGGCTGAGAAGACAGGAGCATTAGCATGTGCTCGGCTATGCTCAAAACAACAGCATTAGACAAGGCCGGAGAGTGGGGCACAATGGGATGTATTTAAATATGAATTTTTCTCCCCTGTGGGTATCTGTCTGCTGCTTTGAGAAACAAGGATGTATTGTGATGTTGCCACCAGGTTATGCCTGAAGTGGGCAGAAACGGAGGAGACAAGGCAGCTTCCAGCTGTCCTTCTCTATTTAAAGTGCCCACCCCACAGCAGCAAATTAAGAGCACAACACTGGAACACTTTTCTGCTGAGCATTAGAACTGAAGACTCAAGTGTAGTGAGGGATGAAGGGCAGTTGGTGTGTTACCCAGCTCAGAACCACAGGCTGACTTAATGGTTAAACTACAGGCAGCGAGAGTCAACTCTAGAGGCATAGCACCTACAAGAAAAGTTGCCCAGCAGGGGAAAAAAACCTTTCTAAAGAAAGGGCATTCAGGTATGAAAATGCACTCAAAGTTTTGGCTTGAGAATTCTCCAGCTCCCAGATCTGCAGTTTTTACTCAGGGAAGGCTCCCATCCAAGGAAACAAAACTACTGAAACAAGTAATCGAGATAATGTGTGTTTCCCGTCAGGAAACAGAGAGTCTGCTCCCTTTTCGAGTATTTCCTGCTTTAGCTACTTGGGTAGTGGTAGGATAATTTCCTGAATGCAGCTGGTTTTGACAGTTAGTGATGTCCTTTACGAAGGACTTTTGAAGTTTCTTCCACAGAAGCTGGGCAAATTACTACGGAAACCAATTGTTCTCAACCAGGGGCAATGTTGCCCCTCAGGGCACACGTAGCAATGTGTGGAAACATGTTTGGCTGTTAGACCGGAGGTGGTGGTGGTGGTGATACTGACATCTAGTGGGCAGAGGCCAGGAAGGCTGCTAGACATTCTGCAATGCATAGGACACGCCCTCACAACAGTTACCCAGCCTAAAATATCAATAGTGCTGAGGTTGAGAAATCCTGGTTTAAAGTAATATTTTCAAAATACGCTCTTACTTTTCTGTTTATTCCGTATCCACCTCTCCCATTTAGGAGTTATTGAGGAACAACAGTGTTAGTTTAAAATAATAATTACCATAATTACCTTTATTGAGCACTTATCGTATTCCAGGCTCTTTGAGTATATATTTTCCCTTAGTCCTAGTGTATTCTTGCTATTTTATTATTGGTCCTATTTTGATGCATGAGAAAAAATGAAGATGCAAGGACATCAAGGAATTTGCTCAAAGCAACACTTCTAGCTGTGATTCCAGAGTTTTACCCTTAGCCCAAGTTAGTATTCAATATTGATTGTACCTGTGCCTTTGGCCTCGGAGTTTGCTTAATGCAAAATATAAATTAATATGATATCATTTAAAATATCACATAATAGCAGCATGACACATATTTGGCTCTGTGTGCAGGTCTACAAATTGAGGCCATGACACTTGAGAAACTTAAGGATTGCCAATGTTATGGGAAAAAAAGGACTTTAGAGAATTGAATTTCCCTGCTGAACTGGGCCTTAAAAGATGCTGAAGCCCACTTCCGGCTTTGGGAAGCACAAAGGCAAGCCACGTCACAAGCACGCAATCATATTGTCCTCCTTTTATTCAGCCTCAGCTTCTGTTTGCTCATTCACATTTTCTCCAGGACTTGGTTCTCTTCTCTAGGCACTCTTGCTAAAAAGGCTAACTCCTACCCCAGGGAATGTTTACTGCTTTCCAAAACATTTGTATTTCATATTAACTACAGAACCTTTCATATAACTACTCTGTCTGACTCTAGGTTGACTCACCTTTACAGGTAGCATCTGGGTCATCTTTCACCTTGTAATTTGAAATAAAGTAGTTCCCCAATTTGGGAAGGTGTGCCCTGTGATGTTTATGATGTCTACATGTCTTACAGGCAATCGAGGGCTTCTTTTTGAAGTTGGAGATGCTGTTGAGGGATTGGAACTGACTGAAGCCACCCCAGGGTACAGGTGGCAGATTGTCCCTAATGCCAGTTCTCCATTTGGGTTTTGGTCAAAGGAAAGACAACCTTTCAGGTATGTTGTAGGAAAAGTGGGAGTCCTCATCAAAAGCATCTTTACTAACATAGGTGAGGCTAGGAGACAGATAAGGAAGGCATCGAGATTTCCAGGAATTTATAACACCAGCCAATTCAACAACAACAGAGTTTGACCGTGTTCTCAATCAGCGTTGGTCATGCTAGTGCAGGGACAAATTTTGATCAATATGTAAAATTTGTATTTTCCACAACTTAGTTTACAATCTATTTTGGAGATGATTATCAACTAGAATATTGAGCTGAGCCAGGAGACTTGAAAAACAGCAGGGTAAAACATGCTTTAGGTACCTGGTTAAGAGGTAAAACTAACATCTGGTTGACGCCAAAGAAAGGTCCAAGAATATGCCCTTTGGGTACATAAGGGAGCAAAGTCTAGGCAGCATACTGTAGGAACAGCCTTCCAGTGCTGAAGGTCAACCCAATGGCCCTTGTAGAGCAGAGGAAACTCTTGCGGGTTCTGTGAGACGTTGTTTTCAGTAGTAGTAATGGCGTCATGACTATAATTTTCCGTTTAATGGTGTGTAATTCCTTCAGTCTTTTTAGTCCCTTCAAGGATGTAGCCGAAATTTCTAGTATTCTAAAGTAAGCTTAAAAATATAAAAGCTTGAAAATTGTCTAGACATACTGTTTCCTTAGTGTGTTCTCAGTGTGTATGTTGAAGGGTGGATCCTTTACTGAATGATGGCTGTCTTTTCCCTTTGAAATCCTTCTTAGAGAGGATGGCTGTGACTCCTGAGTGTGAATTTCAGCCAGTCTGTGACCTCCTCCAAGTATTTTACCATTTTATTAGGTTGGTGCAAAAGTAATTGCGGTTTTTACCATTGAAAGTAATGGCAAACGCTGCAATTATTTTTGTACCAATCTAATAGATTTCAACTCAATTTGAAATGAAAAGCTTAGAGAATTTTTAGGCATTGAATAAGCCAAGTAGGGTTGGTAATCTGTGAGCAGTGTCTCCTGAAGCCTTGCTTACTAGGTACTTAACCATGAGTTTATGGTTTTAAAGTGGCAGTTAAGGCTGGATGCTATG